TGTATCAACACTCTAATTTGAAAATAGCCAGCTTTTAAGAAAAACTGATTTTTTACGTTATACTGGAGTTGAAGACACAGTAATATCTTCCTTAAGATTTTTCTTACTCCTATGCTTTGTCAATAGTTTCAGTCCTGAGGGAGAACAGCTCTACTTAGAAGAGCTTTTAAGAAACCACTAAATTCACTAGGACACCAACTCCTATTGTAGTAGGTCAGCATGTCTCCAGCTGTACTCTGATTTCCAGTAATAGACCTAATCTTCTAAATCAATACGTGATTGCAGTTGGGAAGCCTGCACCATTACACCAGGTAAGTCCAATCTTGCCTCCTTCTATGCTTACCTTTGGGTCTGTAAAATTTTTGCAGAAAGGGCCCTCAAGCAAGGGTTAAGCATATTACTGAACGTCTGTGTTTAATTAAATGGAACCAATGTACTTGAAAATTGAAATACTGAAAGAAAATATGAAACAGTCCAGCACTGCAGAACAACCTTCTGAAGTTTTACCTAGAGCTTTGTAAATTCCTTAAACTTTTCAACAGCAGTATGATATTCTTGTGAAAAGTTGTGTGTGTGTGTGTATATATATGTTTAAAAAAACTCACTTAATGGAATCAAGAAGTAACACTTATAACAAAGAAGTGCCTTCTATCCAAAAATTTCCAAGTTATTTAAAACATTAAGCAAAACCAGGGAGAATAGAATCTCAGAAATCTATATTTTGAAAGATAAGACTCCATGTATTTTACACCAAAACAAAAGGCAAATTTATTTACTATTTTCCCTGAAGATTCACAGGCAGGAGCTGTAATTAGATCTCATCCAGTTAAAACTCAACGATTAATCCGAACTGACTTCAAAAGGTTTAGTGCACTGTGATATATTTCAGAAAGAGGAAGAAATTATAACTGTCAAGGGTCAGATTTTACTTCTTTTACTCACCTTCACCAAACTCCGAGACTAAACATCTTATTTCAATGTTTTTGAGAATGTGATTTTAATTGTTATGATTAAGGGACTGCAGAAACAGGTCCCACATGAAGATGACATTCAATGAATTGAATTACCTTTGCTTTCAGAATTATCTTTGATCGCACTTGTAAATTCGCAGTGGATTTTCCCATTAATTAATGTGAATTAGCTAGTTGTGGCTGTTCAGTTTAGGTTAATTCTCAATGTTTTACAGTGCATCGCTATTTATTGAAAAAAAACCCAACTTACTAAAAAGCACGCAGGTGCAAGCTGTGAATTGCAGGGAATCCCTGCTTTCGCTCTGCTCTGCTGGCTGCTGTGCCGGGGTGTTTGCTTTGGATAGCTCCTAGCACCACCGTCCCGCAGAGCGGACTTCGGCAAGGGCCCAACACAGCGGAAAGTCACAGCTCGGCACAGAGCAGGGAGACTCCGCTTAATGTTTCTTGCCTCCCTGAGGATCCCGTCCCATTTTCTCCTTTCTCATGTACCCTTGGGAACTCGGAGGATCTGCTTTCCAACCACCACGCCGCTCTTTCGCACTCGGTACAAGGCCTCAGCAGAGCTCCTTCTCAAGTATGTCAACACTCGCCCTTAATTAGTCCTTCCCGCACGATGAGGCATTCCTCATCTCCAAAGGGTTCAGTGTGCGGCTGCTCCTGCCGTCTACGCGGGGCTGGAAAGACAAAGAGCCGGGGGCAGCTCCACGTCGGTGCTGCGTGAGCAGCCCGGCTGGGCCAGAGCGGAGGTGTGGGCGCAGCCATCTGGCCAAGACACTGGGCCCATTCTCCGCTATTGTGGAGGCCCGCTGAATGCCGCTTTTTGTCCTTTGCCCGTGCGCAGACAGACATATAAACTGTATCTTTTGTTCTTCAGTCAGGAGGAGAAATCTGCCTTTGCAGTAAAACACGTTGGCCTGGCAGACAGATATTTATCCCCCCCTCAAAGAGCGACAGCTGCCCCTCGCGCAGCGACGCGAGGCGCG